AGAAAAAAACCACATTCCACAGGAAAGAAAAGAAAAAAGTGTATCACGACGGAAAGGAATGTGAATCGAGGTAGAAAAGAGACGAACGTAAAGAAACATAAACATATCTATGTATATGTACATAGATATGTAAAAACGATAGCGTCATGTAGTAACAACCCATGACGCTAACAGAACGTTGATAAGTGCAAATAAAACGTGTCAGAAACAAATGTCAGTAATGAAAATTTTCATCACATAAATACTTCAAATTGAAATGCAGAAGAAAAAGCTAATCGAATTTCTATTCTTGGTAAACCAAAAAAATCAAACTCGAAAATTTGATAAAACAATATCGATCGATCCATATAAAACAGATTCATGAAAATAAAACATACGAGAGAGCAATATATTGATTAGCAGTTCTTCGAAATCGGTCAGTTTGACAATGAGGTATAGAAAAAAGAGAATCTGTTGTAAATTGTAAACAAATGAAAGTATCACATAATGAAAATATTAAAGTGTCAATAAACTCAATTACAATTTATAAATAAAAACCTAATCAATCAAATATTTTTCGATCTTGAATAACTCAGAATAGAAATCCGAAAAAGATAAAGTCAGAACAGTGCCAACTGATGTAATTGTGTCTAATATAAACAAAAAAAATCACGAATGTTCGTTGTTCGTGACTATTCGGTTCTCAAGATTAGATATCAAATAAAATGAGAAATGATCATTATATCCTAATATATTGTTTCATCTATTCAACATTCGAACTATAATTCAGCATCTTGAGCTGATATTAACCAGTAAGATATCAAAATAAATCCCTCAAAATATCAAAGATTGAAGATAGTTCCACGTTCTATGATTATAACTGCTATTACAACATGTAAAAACATCATTTCTTGTATTAATTTTGATCATTTCATCGGTAAATTGTGTCTTTCTGAAAATTAATAAGTACTATTTTAACAATATATAAGTAAGTCATGTTTTTTTTTGTTTAAATCACACTAAAGATAAATTTAATTGAATGGATAAAATAAGATCTGTTTCATTTGAGAAGAGAAAAGGTATCACAATCGATTTAACGTTCTATTTAATAAAACGAAAACGTTTGTCTCGAAAAAGTTTCTTGTTTTGCGGAAAAACAGAAATGCATTAGTTGCCGTTTCGAATAGAAAAGAATACTTTATATTTCGTTCCATCCCAGGTCGATCATTCCAGCGACTGGATCCGTTGAAATCTGAGTCGGTTCCGGTACACTTCTTCTCGATTCCGGCACAGTTTTCGCCGATTCCAGCAAGTTCCGGCAGGTTCTTTGCCGCCGGATTCCGGCCGGAATTGCACAGGAAGTATCCGATCAGTTCTTGACCGTTTCCAGCTCGAAGTTTGCAGGAAACGGTCGGGAAATGACTGGAACCTACGTTTGAACTTCCGGTCGGAATCCGGCGGCAAGGAAATGGTCGGAAAACGAACCTAACCGGCCGGAACCGACCGTGCCATAATAACCTGGGATATTGTCTTAACACATTTGATTCGGAAGAGTATTTACTTTCGCGATGCTCCCATAGACGAGCGCGAAGCACATCATGTTAGTTCATCTCATATTCACATCCTCAGTTTCGGTTGACATTCATCGACATAAGATGAAGAGGAAACATTTTCTAACTAGGATTCAATAAATAAACGTTCAGCCACAGTGTTAACCGCCGTATTGACTGAGAAGAATGTCGTAGCGTGTGTTAATAGGGTTGAGATTTCTAGAACATGTTTGTGTGTTTTGCCCGGTGCAGATCAAGACATACGTTAACTATAGATACTAGAATTGAAGAAAGACTTTGTGTTATTCAGAAGAAAATCTTGAGAATTTTCCAAGGAACACCAAACAACTTACGTCCGGCACGATGCTGGCATTAGTTTAACTGAATTAGGTTGAAAATATGATTTTACCTGCGAATGTTTCATGTCATAATTGTAAACTAATTATAACAATATCCAAGATATGACCACTATTAAAGTTACCACTAACGAATGATATATGGTATTCGGATTTGTTGAAAATCTGCTTGTTGATCCGCAAGTGTAATGTTTCCTTGCCCCGAGTAATATAGCGATATTATGATCATAACAACTGCTGACGAGAATATCTGTCAGATGATCATTATTGACATCTACCGAAGGTATACCGATCTAAAGATACTTTCGGATCATCGTTGAAATTCATTATTATTCCAATGTACTTTAACACCTGGAGCAACGAAATATGAAATTCTAAAACATATTTTGTCCGACGTGGAAAACAATGAAATGGGTAGAAATGTTCCCATTCCAAAACAAGTTTCTTATTGAGGGATGTCAAGAACAAGAAGAAGAGAAGATAGTTAAAATATAAATGAACTGTATGAGGAACATTTGATAAGTTGTTATAAGTCTAAAAATTTTAAAATAATGTAGAAAACTTATTAAAAATTTTTCTTTCTCTGCTTCATAATAAACTTTGAAAACATTAACATTCGAGCGTGACGCGAAAACAACTATTGCCATCACTAATTATACTATCACCAAGAGCTTTTTTCCCGAAGACGAACAATACACCACTTTTCGGATTGACAAGAAATTGATCCGCAAACAGCACATGGTGTGAAAAGTAGGTATTCTTCTTTCAGACGAAGGTTTACTTCTAATCTTGAATAGTATGCATGTTATTTGATTTGTATCAAATACCCATGATCTTCATCTTTATTTTATATAGAACAAAGGTAATGTCTGTTTGTCACGATTTATTTTTCACCATTTGAGAAAACAATGATCGAGCTAATCGTTTAACTATATTTGATAAAGTTTAACTCAATGCATTAGCAATTGATGATCGAGATTTTGATAAAATGATTAACGATACACCAAATCAGCATATATCTAGTATTTGTACAATCTTAATATTTTATATCATAACTAAGTCATCGATCTATAGACAAGAAATAAATAGTCGTACGTTTCCTCAGAACAAAATATTTCCTTCTAGATTCGAAAAAATGNAAGACAGATGCTGTATGTAGATATCGTGCACTATTCATCGATCCAGTTGTTGTCCAACTACCAGTTGACGGATCATATAATTCAGCAGTGTTGAGATAACCACTATAAATTCCACCAGTAACTAATACTTTTCCATTGGATAAGACAGATGCTGTGTGATAATATCGTGCACTATTCATCGATCCAGTGCTTGTCCAATTACCTGTTGATGGATCATATATTTCAGCAGTGTTGATAGAGCCGCCAGTAACTAATACTGCTCCATTGGATAAGACAGATATTGTATGAGCGGATCGCGCAGTATTCATCGATCCAGTTCTTCTCCAATTACCTGTTGATGGATCATATAATTCAGCAGTCTTGATAGAACCACTATAGTATCCACCGGTAACTAATACTTTTCCATTTAACAAGATAGATGCTGTATGATAAGATCGCGCAGTAGTCATAGATCCGGTGCTTTTCCATTTATCTGCTGATGGATCATAAATTTCAGCAGTGTCGGAATCATCGCCGGCTCCACCAGCAACTAATACGGTTCCATTCGATAAGACAGATGCTGTATGATAATATCGTGCAACATTCATGGTTCCAGTATTGGCCCATTCATCTGTCAATAGATTATACAATTCAGCAGTGTTTGAACCATCACCCACTCCACCAGCAACTAATACTGTTTCATTGGATAAGACCGATACTGTATGATAATATCGTGCTCTATTCATCGATCCGGTGCTTGTCCAACTACATGTTGATGGATTATATAGCTCAGTAGTGTTGATAGAACCGTAATAATATCCACCAGTAACTAATACTGTTGCATTTAACAAGATAGATGCTGTATGTTGATATCGTGCACTATTCATCGATCCAGTGTTTGTCCAACTACCAGTTGACGGATCATAAATTTCAGCAGTGTAAGAACCACCATTAGATCCGCCAGCAACTAATACTGTTCCATTTGATAAATTAGACGCTGTATGATGAGATCGTGCACTACTCATGGATCCAGTGCTTGTCCAACTACCAGTTGATGGATCATATAATTCAGAAGTGTTGGAACCGCCACCAGTAACTAATACTTTTCCATTGGATAAGACTGATGCTGCATGTAGATATCGTGCACTATTCATCGATCCAGTGTTTGTCCAATTACCAGTTGACGGATCATATAATTCAGCAGTGTTGAGATCACCATTATAATATCCGCCAGCAACTAATACTGTTCCATTTGATAAAACAGATGCTGTATGATAATATCGTGCACTATTCATCGATCCAGTTGTTGTCCAAGTACCAGTTGACGGATCATATAATTCAGCAGTGTTGAGATAACCACTATAAATTCCACCAGTAACTAATACTTTTCCATTGGATAAGACAGATGCTGTGTGATAATATCGTGCACTATTCATCGATCCAGTGCTTGTCCAATTACCTGTTGATGGATCATATAATTCAGTGGTGTTGAGATAACTACCACCAGCAATTAATACTTTTCCATTGAGCAAGACAGATGCTGTATGATAAGACCGTGTAACATTCATCGATGCAGTTGTTGTCCAACTACCAGTTGATGGATCATATAACTCAGCAGTGTTGAGATAACCACTATAAATTCCACCAGTAACTAAGACTTTTCCATTGGATAAGACAGATGCTGTATGTAGATATCGTGCACTATTCATCGATCCAGTTGTTGTCCAACTACCAGTTGACGGATCATATAATTCAGCAGTGTTGAGATAACCACTATAAATTCCACCAGTAACTAATACTTTTCCATTGGATAAGACAGATGCTGTGTGATAATATCGTGCACTATTCATCGATCCAGTGCTTGTCCAATTACCAGTTGACGGATCATATAATTCAGCAGTGTTGAGATAACTACCACCAGCGACTAGTACTTTTCCATTTAATAAGACAGATGCTGTATGATAAGACCGTGTAACATTCATTGATCCAATTGTTGTCCAACTGCCTCTGGATGGATCATATAATTCAGCAGTGTTGGAACCGCCACCAGTAACTAATACTTTTCCATTGGATAAGACAGATGCTGTATGTAGATCTCGTGCACTATTCATCGATCCAGTTCTTGTCCATTTACCTGTTAATGGATCATATAATTCAGCATTGTTGAGATAACCATTGTAATATCCACCAGTAACGAATACTGTTCCAGTGGATAAGAGAGATGATGTGTGATAATATCGTGCGAGATTCATATATGGCGTTATTATCCATTCTAAATAAAAGAATACAATGTATTTTTTTAAAGTTTCGAATAAAAAGGTGATAAAATGAATCATTTTTATTGTCAGTCGATTATAGAAAGTTGAATATTGAAAAAGAAAATTGATGATAAGAATCTGTTTTTTTACTGATTATTGAAAGTTGTACGAGTGAGATAATTATTCTTAATATTTCTGACTAATTCCAAAGATGAATTAAACAAATGATTAAATATCGAGAGAAGTTCCTTAATTAATTTTTACTTACTATTTGAATCAATAATTAAATTAAATTTTTGTATTCGATTATTTTTTCGATCAGTAATAAAAATATTTCCAAAAGAATCAAAACTAATACTCGAAGGTTGATTTAATTGATTTGAATTTATTCCTGATGATTTATTACATCCAATTAAACAATAAAACCCATTTTGATTTTCCCCAATAATTCGATTATTCATGGAATCAACAATAAATAAATAACTTTGTTTATCTAATGCAATTGAAGTTGGACAATTCAAATCAATTGTTACATTTAAAGAACCATTTCCAACTTTAGTTATTCCAGTTAATTTGTTTAATTGAAATAATTGTATTCGATTATTTCCAGAATCAGCAATAAATAAATCTTGATTTATTTCATCAATAAAAATTCCACGAGGAAATCGAAGTGTTGTTGATGTTGAACCTTGTGTGCCTGTTCCAGCAACAATTAATAAAGGATTCCATTGATTCAATAATGATTTCGAAAGAATTTGATGACGATCAGTAAATGAACAATAAAGAATATCATTTTCAGTAACAAATATATGAAAACATTGTTGACATAAATTCATTCTTTTAATTGGATTTAGCATTATTGAATTTAATTTAATTTGACTTATTCCACTAAATAATGATGNATGTTGAATCTGAACCGAAACTTGGTCGATTATAAGAAAAAGATAAATTAAGAAGAAATATTATAAAAAATATTCAATTAAATCAAAGATTTACCTGATATTTGTTTAATAAAGAATAAAATTATCAAGAAATTGAACTTTTTACTGGAAAACTTTGTGAAGAAATGCGAAGTATTCTCAAGTTAACACAAGGTTTTATAGTAAATTTTTGTTTGTTCAGAGAAAAAGAAAATTATGATTTTATTTGAATGAACTTTTTTTAAAATAAAAATAAATAGTAGAAATATGATTTTTAATTTATCAAGAAATTCTTTTATTTGATAAAAAATATTTCTTTCTAAATAAATAAAGAAAAATCAAGTTTCAATTTTTTTTCAATTAAGAATGTTATTTACAAAAAAAAAGAAACATAGATCAGGCTTGCCAAATGAAAATTTTAGAAATCAGGAGCTTTTTTTAGATATTCAAGAGGGTTTATATATTTTTTACGATACAAATTATGCTGATCTAAAGACTCGCTCGCGTTTTTCAAATAGAACTCATGTTCTACACTGTAAAAAAAGATGGAAAACTGTCAATAGTAAAATCGTTTTTGATATCTTAATAAACAAAAAAAGAGTTTATGAACTTGTAACGTATGAGAAGCCGTATTTGACGAGACTATTATCATTTTTTCGTTTCTATGATACTTCATGAACGCGAAAAAATGGTTTATAATATGTTATAAATTCGCAAACCTTTTTTTTTTTCATTTGTTCAGTTTACAAAAACTTGACCTCTTATTCAAGTATTATGTTAAACAGTCTCATTTGTTTTTATATCTTCCGATCGCTTTTGAGAATGCGACTAGGCAAACAAGTAAATCATTTTCTTCTTGTAATACTCTTTTCTATGATAATCAAAATAATTTTTAACTTTCAGTTCAGTAATTGAAAGAAGTGATGATTAAACAAAAGTTATTTCGATATTTATTTTCTTGATAATTATTAGGAAATAAATATTAACTTTCTCGATTAATATAAAATAAAACATAAAGTATGTAATTTGCGACTTTTTTTTGCAATAAGACTATTTTCCTGACGACCAGATTTCTCTGAGTACATTTGATTTAGTAAAAATATAAATATAAAACTCTGTTGATATCAAATGAGTGTTCATTAAATTTGAATTCAACTTCAGCTATTGTTTTTCGACAAACATCATGTGTCTAAAAACTGACTTACAGAAAGTGTTCAAGACAGAAATAGTTAAGAAAAATCTATTCAATTCTGATTATTTTCTCGTTCTATTCACTAAATTTCTATAAACGAGAATAAGTCAGTAAATCTCGACTAAGAAAAAGCAAAAATCAGGATAAATGATCAAAATCAGTTCCTGAATTCAGAAGATTTTCAATCAGAGAAAAAGTAAAAAATCAGGAGACTCCTGATCAAATCAGTAGGTTTGGCAACCCTGACATTTACATCAAAGGAAAATATTCAATAAACATAAGAATTTTACTGATTCTATTTCTTAAATAATCAATTATTTATTATTGTTTATCGTAATTTGGTATTTCTCGAAATATTTTCTCTCAATTGATTAAATTAAAATATTAAATAAAAATCTCAAAAAGAATACAAATAAAATGATCTGAATTCAAACAAACATCGTTTGGAACAAGTACAAAGGTTGACCGAACATCTTTTTTAAATATGAGAGGAAGAGTCTTAGATCCTAGGTAATAATTTATCTCATCAATAAATTGACTAATCTAATAGGATGTTGAGGATATGTATGAAGACCAACGCCTTATTCTCCCGTTCGGAGCAAAAGTTATATGATAAAAAGAAGTGTGTATGATGTGTGTTTTAGGGTCGGAAGTCAACATTTACAGAAACTTCACAAATATCATTCGGCGATTAATGAGACTGACGAGAGAGATTCCCCAGGTGTGCAAAGCCTTTAGGTTGCATCTTTTGATAATAGATAGACCTCAATGAAGTGTGAAAAACCTCAAGAAGATTCATCCTCTCGCGCCTTTACTCTCGAGATATTTAATTCTTACTCAGGTGAAAGTGTTTTTATGCTTCGCATATCGCTCGTCCAATCTATTCTTGATTTAGTACTAGATCATATATCATCAGTAGCACCTCTATGGGCTGTTCATGGGATGACAGAATATCCATAACTCTTCATTTTATGTCTGATTTCATTATGCACTTTTCTAACGATTTCTATAGAGAAACGGGTCATATAAAAAAAGTTGATAAACTTTTCAGGATCCAGATCATTTTCTTAAATGAGAACTAGTTCAGAAACTGTTATTAAGTTTATGCACCGTTCTGAATCTCCTTAGAAAAAATAGTTTTGCTGTCAACACAGAAGCCGTTTTTCTAAATTCTGTTAAAAGAGAATGCATAAGTAGTTCAAAGTGAAAAGGATTCAAGTGGAATACAAAATGCGTATCTTTTGAGGTACAAATTTTTCTGGGATATCTGAAGTTAAAATGAGGTACGGATGGCAGGCATGCTCACAACCCACTCTCTGCCCAGGTGTTTCGTGCAATGATCCTTTACGCTTGGTATGCGAGCGGTTACACAGACAACGATTCCAGGTCCTTCAACACATTCATTCACTCCTTGTGCGGTTCTTTACGGCATATAATGAAATGAGACGTGAAATGAAGAGTTATGGATATTCTCTAATCCGATGAACCTTGAAAACAATTTCACCTGAGTAGTGTATTATGCTCTAAAAACGATTATTTCGCACCGATCCTCTTTCGTATGTTTGTTAAGAATTAAATATCTCGAGAATAAAGAAGCGAGGGGATGAATCCTCTTGAGGTTTTTCATACCTTATTGAGGTCTATCCATTACCAAAAGATGAGACCTAAATATAGTCTAAAGTATTATTATCATTGATCTTTTGTGGAACTCACATTTATTTTTTGAAGAAAAATAAGTGAGTGTAAGTTTTAAGTCGAGAAAAATATGGACCCCCTCCCACCCCCTCTCCCTGTTCAATACACATGAAATTAGGCGCCAAAGATACCTAAGCAACTGTTCAGTATATTCTTTCATCATAGACAACAAGCATTGTACTGCAATAAAAAATGGCGTCTTTTCTTTGCCTCCTCCCCCTTTCTTAAATATGCAGTATAATTCAAAATCTCCAGATACTGTCTCTTTCATGCATTCGTTTATCAAAAGGCGTACACAATTTTATATATGTTAGCCATGTTGAGTATGTACGCTAATAAGCATGTGAGGGTGAGTTTAGTCTGTATGTATACTATTGTCACTCATATTCTCTTTCCCGAAATATAAGGATGTGAGTTCCACATTTTAGCCCCCAAAAGGGGCTACGCTGACAAGCTTTTTTTTCTTATTTTTATGATATCAAATATCTCGTATACGTTGTATATGGTTACATTTTAGCAACTTCATATCATTGTCTTTTAATTTATTTGATTTTTTTTACTAGAATATGATGAAAAAGAAAAAATGTAAGTCTAACATTCGTATTGATCAAGATTTTCGTATTTAAGTACGTTAACAACACGAGTAGGTGGCTTAGAAAGGATTTCTTCTTTGTCTGTAATATGAAATTCCCAATTTCGAATAGGATAGCGAACATGTTCAAATGGATAATTGACTTCCAAAATCTGCTTATTGGCTTTCTTCACTCGAATATTTGTTATAATCTTGACCCATTTGCAATACGAATCTGGCAACTCGGGTTGAAAGAATTTTCGAGGAAAATAATGTTCAGTATTGCCCGAAATAGTTACGTTTACTATTTCATCAAATTTCTCTTCACCTGGACGTCCATTGTATTTCAAACTACATTCAATTGGTTCAGCAGTACAATTGATCACGAAACATGAATACACATGAGGTGGAGCACGAGCAGTTGTCGACGATGATAATAAACCATTCGTCAATATTTCATCATTAGAAATGGACTTATCAACTGACTTCATAGTCGACACAACATTGTTTACGTTAGTAGACATAATTTATGATTCTAAAACAAATATATATATATTAGAAGAAAGTAATATATGAAGGATCATAATTGAATGAGAAACTATATAATTCAAAAAAGAAAAATGAATAATATGAAAGTATATTAAAATGATTTTAAGTATGTTGTCGAGCTGGTACACCTGACCAAACTGTATTGAAAGGTAATTGATCGTTTTTCATAACTAATGTAAGAGGAAGTAGACGATTACGTCCATGAAGTACAGAACCAGCAAGAACATTCGAATAACTCATTATTATACTTGAATGTTCAACAATCAGAGGAGCCACTTTGTATAAGCGTTGTTCAAACGTATGAGACTAATAGATAAAATAGAATAAATATACTTAAAAAGCTTGTCTTATTACCTGCAACCATGCTTCTCTATGAAGACGAACATGATCACCAATAGTGACAAGACGAGGATCAGTGAGACAATCAGTCGTTGGTAGAATCACATCTTGTCCGATACGAGCACCAAGTACACGAAAGAGAAACACAAGATATTGGGTTTGAGACAAAAATGGACTGACAAAGATATTGAATTCGACTAGAGCTGAAGTAAGTAATTGACGTGTTTGATTGATTGTTTCTGAATACGTAAAAGTCATTTTTGATGACACGCTTAAACTCAAACAGCGATGTATAAAACAAAAGAAACCGATGTGAACGAATAGTCCCAATATAATTGGTAGACGCCAATATATAGTGATGAATAAACATTTACAGATTAGAAATATCATACAGTCAATTGCAAATATGCGCAAAGACAAGAAAATTGATGATGATGATGTATTACCAGTAGTTTGTGATTCCACTTCTGGCATCACAAAAGGCATTTGACGAGCTGGAATGCCTAATAATACTGAGCCAATCGAAGAGATAGAAGTATCTCGCTTAACTAAAGTTAGATTACCGACCATAGTTTTAGCAGCAAGCTTGGTTCCAGGCATTAATATGCATCCATTAGCAAGATTTGAGTCAGATCCAAGTACAATAGTATTGATATAACAGTGACCTGTTAGTGTTATTTCAAATGGAGCAAGTACAACTTTTGCAAAAGTTGTAACACCTCGTTCAATTTTAAGTAAATTCGATGGGAAATGTAAAATTGGTTTGAATTGACAGAGTTTAACATCATCCTCGATATCGACACCCAACCAGCGAAGAAGAGCATTTGCATTAGAATCGTATAATGATAGGATATCATACGAACGATGAAACGAACATATAATCAATTGACGCAACCATAATCGATGTAAAAAATAGTATGAGTTAATTGGATAGTTGCCCGGTATTATAGATCCTACGATGAACTTCAGAAAGAACGTTACCGTGAGGAGACTAACTATACTCCAAAATAACCAACTCATGGCGAGAGCTATAGGTATTGGCATATCAAAGATCAAAAGATATTGATATACAGAATAAGTGCGAATTAAAATCACACTGTGAATGATTATAAGACAGAAAATACATATACATTGATAGATGATTTGTTTCCATGAGAAAGATCGATCATAAATCATTGTATGTTTCTTTGTTGACGAATAACAACTAGTCACTGTAGACATAGATTCAACATAAGCATGATCTGGGATATTGATATCGCCGTAAAGAACACAAAACATACCAATCGAACAATAAGTTCCAATACAAATTGGATGAAGTTCATATGTTTGATCATAATATGATAAATTGCTAAGTATTGTTTCACCATCAATGAAAGTTGAATCACCTACTTCAAGTAACCAAGGTGCATCAATGAATGTTGAATAAATATGCACTCCACGACCGATTCGTGCACCACATAGGCGTAGATAGATATTATACATAGGTGTTCCTAATATATGTTTTAACCAATAAGAATTATTGATGGACCATAAACGTTCCAGATACCACCATCGATAATAACGCCATGAATACAATGTATCACTTAGTTTTATTTGTTTGTCTGACCAAAGTAGTAAACGTTGACAAATAATATACGATAACAAATGAGTTACGGGTATAAATAAAACAGAAAAACAATATTTAGAATAATATGCAATCCAAAATGGTAATAACCATTGACAGATGAGAAGCATCATACCTAATGCTTCAATCAATAATGATGGTGTCGGTCGATGATGATTATCATCTTTGATCTCTGTCGTTACAACCACGATAGGTGCTTCTTTTTTAGCATTGATTAATTGTTCTAATACGCGTGCAAGTTGTCTTATTGAAGGATTATCATATAGAACACCAATACCAACATTTCCATAAACTTGTTGTCGAATCATAGAAAGTGCAGTCACAGCATCCAAAGATGTACCACCAAGTTGTCCAAATGAAACGTTAACATTAGGAGAGTTAACATGAAATGCTTGAGCAAAAATAGATAAGAGTTGTTCTTCAAGAGGAGTTAATGGCATCTGATCATCTTCATCATGATTATCAATCAATAATGAGAAGTCTGGTTCTGGAAGATGTTTACGATCTAATTTTCCATTTGCATTCAGTGGAAATTGTTCAAGTACGATAAACATCGATGGAACCATGAATGATGCTAAATGAGATCGACAATATTCTTGTAATTGATCCGCAGTGATATTATCACTTTGAACATAGGCAATTAAATGATTATCACCCCATTTAACAACTACAGCGCCTGTGATATGTGATGAGACGCTAAGCAAACAACGTTCGATTTCACCTAATTCAATACGCTGTCCACGTAATTTGACTTGATGATCTTTTCGACCTACATAGTGTATTAAATTGGAGTTGTTCATTCGAACAAGATCACCACTTCGATAAAACCATTCTCTATTGATATCAACTAAGGCATTTTTCGTTAGATCATCACGGTTAAGATAGCCAGCAAAAACACCGACGCCTCCCACAAGTAGTTCTCCCTCTTGACCAATGAAAACAGGTTCTCCAAAGGTATCAACGATTATACCACGATAACCAGGTGCCATTGAACCGATTGGAACAGTACTATACTCACATGTAGTATCAACAAGATGATAGGTGCAACCGATTGTAATTTCAGCAGGACCGTAATGATTCCATATACGACTTTGGTTTGTTGATGTCGAATTTGATAATAAATATCTTCTTAATCTATGTGTTAATTGAGTTGGTAAAGTTTCGCCTATAAAATATTTATAATAGTATATTTTCAAAGCAAAGATATTAGTTTTAGTGAATGATCTTTATGTTTTTTATGCTTATTTTTTTAGAGCGATGAATTCTAAATGTTGAAATACATTTAAATACTATGCATGAATCGAATGTTGATCCAGCACTTTCTCAGGTTCTCTTCCCATAGATGTTAATGTACTTACCACTGGAACATACACACCGAAGATAATTTGAATTAGACTCGCCTGATTGTCGTTCAAGATATCGGCATAATACTTCAAGATAACTAGGTACACTATTCAAATAGGTTATCATTTTCACCTCGAATATATTAACTAAATATGGTAAATCCATTAGACCATCTGGACGAAGCATTACAAGACTCGCGCCTATAATCAATGCACCTAAGATATCTTCAACGTGAATATCGAAAGAACAACGTGACATTTGTAAAATTGTGTCCTTTTCACTAAACATGTCCATATCGACTAGAGATCGAATCGCCTCGACGAGATTTCGATGTCGTACTTGAGCCTAAATATAGAGAATCTACAGGTACACACTCACAATATTGTGATTATAACTAACCGTTTTGGTACACCGGTTGAACCACTTGTGAAAATCACATAAGCAATACTTTCTCCAGTCACCATTAACTCCAAGGAACGATCAACAGACCTTTCCTTCGTAAAAAGATTTCTTCCAATAACAGCATCGACATCTACCGTCACTTGATTGCTTTCAAATCTTCCTCGTGTTAAATCATGAACCAAAACCACGCCACACTCTGTTTCTTTCAATAATGTCTGTAATCGTTGATCGGGATCCTGAGGTGATAATGGACAATAAACAGCACCAGCTATTTCAATCGATATCATACCAATTACCTTAAAACGAAGAGAAACTCATTATATTCTATGCTCTATTCCTTTATTTTACCATTGATATACTTCGTTCTACGCATTGACAAATGATATCACCTTCCTTCACACCATTCGAATTACGAAGAACAATTGCCAATTGTTGAGCATAGAAACAAACTTCACTATAAGTGAGTAATTGTTCATCAAGTTCAACTGCTACTTTTTGTGGATGTTTTTCTACTTGTTGATTGAAGAGTTGATAAATGATGTTTTCCCTAGCTGGTGCTCGATCTATATCGTGAGTTTTCAATGCATCAATCAATAATTGTTCCTGTGGTAATATCAGAGACAACTGATACAATGATAGTTGTGTTTCATTCGACAAAACTGATGGGTGAAAAAGGGAGTTCATGAGGTGCGCAAATCGATCAAGTAATGTTTGTACTGTTGATTGATCAAATAGATCTTCTGCACATACCAAAGAACATGATATTCCACCTGATGGTCTATAGATAATTGATAACATCATATCGAATTTTGAGGGTGGGGTGTGGGTGTGAGTCAAGCATTCTACGACGCGTTTCGACTAAGCTCAATAGTCTCATCAGGTAGTTTCGACTTTGTAGTCATCCAAAATGATCGGCATCCTCCTTACGACGTGGTAACGATCAGTCGCATATATTTCGTTCGATAAGATTAAAAACAGACTATACATCCTCCGTAATTTTTCTCTCACTCTCTCTCCAACCTCGAACTTCGGTCCAAATCGAAGACTTCAGAATCTCT